TACGACTAACAGATAAAGGGGAAAAATGTTTTGTTGTTGTAATCTGAACTGCAGGGCAAGCTAAAACAGCTCACACACATTCATTAATATTGCAGAAATTACAGGGAAGTCATTGATCTCATGCAGAAACATGCTAACTTCCTGAGAAATAATGACTGAAAGTGTGCTAACAAAACCAGTTTCTTCATAAGATACCATCTTTATTCTCTTCAAAAAGCCTTTTTGCTTTTGATTGAGCATATTATTCAAACACAAAGATGCAATAGAGCATGCAGATTCTCAGATAACTACTTTGGAAAGACAAATCAACAAATCTTCTATAATAAGCCATTTTATTGACAGAGTCTCCATTTAACACTGAATACTTGGTCATTTGTGCATTGTGTTTTCAGGCCTGTAGGAGTGCAATTCTTCCGGCGTCAGGCGCTCAGGACATTTGTTTAGTCTCAGTGTTTAGTATTCAGATATGTTTGGTACTTTTTATAGATTTCACTTTAATAGCTTTAATTGAACTCTTAACATGTTGAGAATGCCTCCAGTAATGTTTAAAGTTATTTAACAGTACGTATCATTGAAATGGAAACCAAAAAAGATCAAGATTATGATCACACAAGCGATTCAGAAATTTCAAAAAACATTTTTCACAAACACAAAGTATTCAAGGCTTCTAGCTCACATTTGGTACAGAGAGGAAAATATGACAACGGTAAAATGACAGTAAGAAGCTAAACAGACGACCACAATCCTAGTGTATACAACTACTTCAAGGATAAATGACCATAAAATGAACAAACACAATCCAATGCAAGGACATTTGTTCAAATGCGCACAATTTCAATCAAATATGTCAGAAATTGTGATGAAAGCAAACAAATACATGACACATTCAGCAGGCAACATTGTATTTTGTTTGGAAAAAAGGTATTACAGCATTTTGATTAGCTCTTATTTTTATTTTTAAGTTAGTAATTCCGCTGTGTGCTTTTACTACATATAGTTGAAGTACCGAATTATTAGCCCCTGAATTATTAGCCCCCTGTTTATTTTTCCCCCCCAATTTCTGCTTAACGGAAAGTAGATTTTTTAACACATTTCAAAACATATTAGTTTTAATAACTCATTTCTAATAACTGATTTATTTTATCTTTGCCATGATGACAGTTAATAATATTTGACTAGATATTATTCAAGACACTTCTATACAGATTAAAGTGACATTTAAAGGCTTAACTAGGTTAACTAGGCAGGTTAGGGTAATTAATAATTTCTGCTAAAAATTAAGTTATTGTATAACGATGGTTTGTTCTGTAGACTATCGATAAATAAATTAGCTTAAAGGTGCTAATAATTTTGACCTTAAAATGGTGTTTAAAAAATTTAAAACTGCTTTTATTCTAGCAAAATAAAACAAATAATTATAAGTCAATTATCAGACATACTGTGAAGATTTCCTTGCTTGTGGCTAATAATTCTGACTTCAACTATATATATATATATATATATATATATATATATATATATATATATATATATATATATATATATATATATATATATATATATATATATATATATGTATATATACACACACACAGCCGGGAAAAAAAATAAATACTGAACACGTCATCATTTTCCTCAGTTACCATATTTCTAAAGGTGCCGTTGACTTGGAATTTTCACCAGATGTTGGTAACAACCAAACAAATAATTATGTGAAAGAAAACAAAACTAATTAGTTTGAAAATTATCTGTAATATAATTAAATGACACAGAGAAAAAGTATTAAACACATAAAAAAGGGAGGTTTTGAAAGGCAGTGAAAGCCCTGACAGCAGCTGAAATCTTTAGCAGTTCTTTAGGAATCTTCTGCCTTTCTTCATTGTAAATGAATATAAGCTGCTTCTGTCGAGCATCTACATTAGCAGAATGATGCAGGTGAAGCAGGGTTGACATTTTAGCAAGACAATGATCTAAAGCACAGCCAAGAAAACTCTCAAATGCTTTCAGAGACAGAAAATCAAGCTGTAGAATGGTCCAGCCAATCACCTGACTTGAATCCAATAGAAAATACAAAAGAAAGATCAGATTTGATAGACGAGATCCACAGAACCATCAAGATTTGTACACTTTGTTGAAGTCTGTAAAAAAACAAAAATCACACCTGAACAATTAATTTGACTTCGTTCTCCATATGAGAGCCGTCTTTGATAAACCAAAAAGTATTTTATATTATAAAGTATTAAACATGTTTCAGTAGTTCATTACTTTCTTCTTGTGCTATTCCATTATTACACATAACTCATTTTTTAGATTTTTTTATTTAATGTTTTTATATTTTTTTTGTTTGGGTTTTTACTAAAATCTGGTTCAATTCCATGCCAAGAGCTCCTCTAGAAATACTATTCCCAAGAAAAAAACATGACGTGTTCAATACTTATTTTCCCTGCTGTATCATTATGTGTGTTTACATAAATGTTTATTCATACACTGCTAAAGCAGATTAGTTACTTTACCAAAAAAAGTGAGTAAACAAAACAAGTGTTAGTAAATTGGAAGTGTTAAGCTGTTAACTATTTTATAATTTTGCACATAGTTCATTTATCTAATTAAAAGGCTTTATATTTTGTTTTCCTCAGGTAAAGTCAACTAATCCCTTTTTACAGTGTAGATTTAACTAAAAAAAAAGTGCTTAAAATTATTGCAGTTCGTTCATTTAACTTTGCTTTTCAGACGTAAAATTTATTTCAAAACTTATAGTTACAATAATAAAGCTGAATGAAAAGGGAATGGACTGGGCTGAAATCCGTCACTGTAATTGAAAAGCTCCCCTTCGATTTAAACTAAAGTTCATCACATGCTGTCTAGATCAAAGAATACAAAAAGAAACAGATGGAAAAATTGTCTGTTCTTATCAAACATAGCATAGATTTACATAAAAGGCACTGTGTGGTCTCTAAACCCGTTCTGTTTATTTAAAAAGAGCTGTGTTGTTTCCAGTAAACACTGAAAAAAGCCAAATCAAAGGAAATAAAGCACTTTTAAATGAGATCTCCACCACTGGAGCAGTTTTTCAGGAGTTTAATCTAGAAACACACGAATCATGATGCCTTTTTCTGCATTCAGTGCTGATTATATAGGAAACTTAACATTTAGATATGGAGAAGATCTTAGAGTACAGTATTTCAGTTGTTGCATCATTATCAAATCATTAAAAGCACAAAATTGGTTGATGATACAGAGGACTTTGAGAATGATATGCTTCTGTATCTGTAGAATCAGTCGGAATAGCTGGGAATGGAAAAATAAAAACCAGATTTAACTAAAACTTTGGTCACTTGACTATGCATTAGTTCGCAGGCCTGAGAGGACAAAATGCTACAGTGGAACCGTCTTCAATCCGCAAACACACAGATTTATTATGGAATTGCTCTGAAAGGGACAGTTCTTCCACAAAACTGAAAAATTCACTTTGAATTGACTCAGCCTGAACTTATGCAAGATGTATAGGGACTTTTTTCTTCAGTAGAACATTAAGGAAAATTGTAATACTTGGTGATTCGCAGAATACAAGTCAACGACTTCCAGCACTTTGAGATTAAGCAAAACAATAAAAAAAATGAACAATATTTCCTTTACCCATAGCATCTGCAAATGTAGTTCTGAATAACTCATTCTCTCCAGATGTCCTTAACATGTCATTGAGAACCAGAAGTACTTATTTATTTTATTTTTGTGTAAACGGATATATGCATGTATGGAAAGGTGTGTGCTTGTGTATGTTTTGTAGTTCAGTAGGCTATATTGATATAGTATGCCAAGTTGATGTGGGTTTCGAAAAAAAAGGGGAAAGATAATCAATAAATATGTTCTTTTTTTTGCATGTATATGTTTTATTATTCTTAAAGTGCATGTAACCGATGACTTGGATTTTATTAATCACCAATGGAAACAAACAATCCTGCACACTATCAACACCTGAGTATTTTATAATAGATGACTTTTCAGTCCCATGACCTTCATCAAACATATATACAAAAAATTAACGTTTATGTTTGATGAAGGAATGTTTGGTATGTGTATATACACTCACCGGCCACTTTATTAGATACACCACCCTTTTGCCTTCAGAACAGCCTTAATCCTTGATGGCATAGATTCAACAAGGTACTAGAATATTCCTCAGAGATTTTGGTCCATATTGACATGCTAGAATCATCCATTTGCTGCAGATTTGTCAGCTGCACATCCATAATGCAAATCTCCCGTTCCACCACATCCCAAAGGTGCTCTGTTGGATTGAGATCTGGTGACTGTGAAGGCCATTTGAGTACAGTGAACTCATTGTCGTGTTCAAGAAACCTGTCTTGGTTATTTGAGTTACTGTTGCCTTTTTACCAACTCGAACCAGTCTGGCCATTCTCCTCTGACTTCAGGCATCAACAAGGCATTAGCGCCCACAGAACCGTCGCTTACTGGATATTTTCTTTTTTCTATACTCTTTTTAAACCTTAGAGATGGATGTGCGTAAAAATCCCAGTAGATCAGCAGTTTCTGAAAAACTCACAAAAAACAAGAACGTTTTGACCACGCCTACATGCCTAAATGCATTAAGTTGCTGCCACGTGATTGGATGATTAGAATATTATTTTAATGACCAGTTGGACAGGTGTACCTAATAAAGTGGCAGGTGAGTGTATGATATATGTGTATGTTAATAAAGGTTTATATGTTTGATGGGACTGAAACATCATATATAATAAAATATATGTAAGTATTGATAGTATTCAGGATCGTTTGTTTCCCTTTTGCATATTTTCACATGGGGATTTTTCCAATGCACCTATCGATGCTTTAGGTATGCTGAGTTTACTTAATCAGTAGCCAGGTACCGTGGTTTCTGCTAAAAATCTACTTCAATGCTCTACTGAGGAAAAAAATCTAGATTAGCTCAAAGAAGAGTAAATAAACAGTAAATTAGTTTCTTTTTTTTTGGGGGGGGGGGGGGGGGGGGTGGTGACTATCGTATTAGGGAATAATTGGTCCAGTTTTAGATTGAGGTAAAGTTGGTTCTATATTCACACATTCAGACGTTCTTCTTAATATTATATTATCAGAAAAGTATTATTTACAATCTGTAAATAGTGAAATCATAATATCAGCCAATGACTAAGTACAACATTGTTTACAGTCAATTAAATGTTGTTTTGAAGTCAAACTTAAATGCGATTTCAGACCAAATATTTAAATTAGCTTAGTCAACAATATAGGAACGTTAAAATAAACAAATGTGTGTGAATATAAAACCAACTTTAACTTAATCAGATTAAACAACCTTCGTTCACCAAGGAGAATCTCCTTTTAATAATGTGGCCCAAACTCAACCTCTAAACTTTTTTCTCTTTCACATAACCTCCGACCTAAAAATGACTGAGATCTGCATGGTAGTTAAAGCGTGAAAGTCAACATTGCACTGCGCAGGGTCGAATCACCGCTTCGTTCTCAATTCAAAACAATCCGGTTTACACAAGAGTGAGGAACTGGGAATTCACCTTCTCTTTCAACAAAATGGGAACTTAGATCTGCACAAAGACGCACAAGGCCACAGGAAGAGTAAAAAAAAACACACACGCACAAACAAAAGTGGTGTCACGCAAGCCTGACCTACAATAAGGTCATCATCGCAGCACAAAACAGCAGGCAGCAGAGCAGTGCAATCTGGGAACAGTGCATCTAAATCAGTACCACAATATTCAACTTTACACAATAAACAGAACCACTCTCCACTCTCAAATAGGCTTGTCAGAAGTACTGAGTTCACTGAAATCTGAAAAACATCAATTTCGTGCTCACATTTGAGTGCTGCTTACCAAGTACAAAAACAGATACACAGACACAGAATCGTTTCAAAGCCGCATATCTGCTGCTCAACAGTGCTCAAATGTTAGTGGGAAAAGGATGTTTTTAAAATTGTAGTACCGATTGGTACAGAACTTAATATATTTGACAACCCTCAAACTCTCAAAATGCAATTATTCACAGGTTGAGGGACAAACCTGACATTTAATCATGTCAATCTGACTAAAATCTGATGCTGAAAGAAAGCGTTAATTACTCTAAATGTTGTTTTTTTTGCAAACAATTAAAAAACAAACATTTACAAATATAGTACTGTGTTCAGCAGCAACATACAAGGAATAAAAAGCAATACAATGTGTATGAAAATCTCAAATAATTGCAATTGATTATGATTAGCCATATTCCCTGCAATTATGACACGTATTCAATTTACGAACATGAATGTTATATTTATTCAGTATTAAATAGTATTGAATAAATCACTAGTGCAGCGCCAAAGGAAACTAGTTCTTGAGTGGTCAGTTTAAGGGAGAGTTACCCCAAAAATAAAGTTTTGGTATAATTTATTCTACGGTGGCCTTTTGAGAGCTTAAAATGCTGCAATTTAAGAAAACACGTGCAAGTACAAAAAACGCCAGCAAATTGAGAAAATGTCTTCATCAGTTTCTTCACTAATCCTCACTACGCAGACACATTTTTAAAAATGCTCTGCATTTCCACACAGTGGAAACAAATTAATAAAACGTGCTGCATTTCCTCACAACGCAAACAATTTACAGAAACACGCTGCATTTTCTCACAAAGCAAACTAATTTATAAAAACGCTACATTTTCTCACAACACAAACAATTTACGGGAACGCGCTGCATTTTTTCACAAAGCAAACAAATTAATAAACCGCGCTGCATTTGCTCACATCGCAATCATTTTCTCACAACACTCTTAAATAGCACTGAACACAATGGAAATGTTTCAAGGGGACTCAAAAACGTGACAGACCCAGCCATTTAGGTTATGGTAATTTAGGCTAATAAAATACAAATGACAAGGGAATCAGGATTTTTAAATAAACAACTAAATTTAAGTTTAAATGAAAAAAAAAAAATCACATTTCAAAGATCCCCGACAACTTCACTAAGCAATAGCAAAGAGCATAGAATCAAGCTACGTCTGTCACGTTTTAGGGTCTCGTTGCAAGTTTTCAGAGAAAATGCAGCGCGTTTCCATAAATTGTTCGCATTGTGAGAAAACGCAGTGCAATTTATTAATTTGTGAAAATGCAGCGCGTTTTATTTATTTGTTTGCATTGTGGAAACATGCAGCGTGTTTTTTTAATATGTACATGTTGTGAGGATTTGCAGCACGTGTGCTGTCATGCAGACGAAGATCTTTTCTGTAGGCTTTTTTTTTGCAGGCTTTTTTTTGTAATGGCTTGCGTTTTCTCAAATTGCAGCACATTAAGCTCTCTTGGTCACCGTATTATGCACCCTAATATCATTCCAAAACCAGTATCAGGTATAACTTTTTTGTTCTCAAAAATGTTGGGAACCAACTAACACTAAAGATTCTGGAAAAAAACTAAATCTCAAATATATTACTCATTGTATTGCAGTGAAGAAATTCAGTCACTTACGGAATGATATGAGAGTCAATAAAATGATGAGAGTTTCCAAATATGTCAATAAGGCATCTATCATTACAAAGGTCTTTGGAGAAAAATCCAACATGTTTTGAATGCAAAAAACATCTTAATAAATTTCAACAAAAGTAAATAAAGATCAACACCTGCCCATTTACCATCATGCTCGGCTGGCTTTTTCAATTGAAACGTAACGATTCAAATTTCCCCACACAAACAAACGAAACACAAATGATGTTGTCAGTTCCAGCCGATCCACAACTTTGCACGAGTCACACCTTTTGCAAAAGCGCTTTCAGTCAACTCTTGATGCAAGAGTTTGAGTCTAACCATTAGTCAAAAATCCTCTACAATTTCAGATAATCAGCAAAACTGCTGTATTGCTTAAGAAAAAATATAACAAGGCCTACTGGCTACAAAAGTTTGCAATAAGATTTTAGAAAAGAATAAAATCTGACATATATGCTACTATACATGCAATGCAAACCGTGTAGAAAAGCACAATCATTTCTCAATCAACACCAAACGGGTGTTTAGAATAGAAACTCTTCGAAAACTACAGTATAAAGGATGGAAAACATTGGAGGAACGATTGGAAGGTGCAGCGCAGTGTTACATGACTGGCATTAGTTCCATCAAATCTGCGATTTGAGGGGAGGGGCCTCTGCAGTCCAACTGGGCTCTTATTGGCTGAAAGCATAGTGGTTTGTTCCATCACAACAAGCCCACGTGTGCAAATAGGAAAGGCACAAGAAAAAGCGCATTTAAGCCTACTGTTCCGTAGACGATATACCGATACGGCAGCTCCACTTCCATGTGCTGCCTGGCCTTCCGGACATCATTGCTGGGAATCCCGAATACCCAACAGACGAGTGGGATAGTGAGAGCTTTCATTACAGCTCTGGTAGCCAAGAGAATGAGGACGCCTAAGAAAAAGCGGAGCAGACAGAGTGCAACCAGGCTGAGGGTGAAAGATGGTGGCTGTAGAGGAAACGCAGATGCTGGTGGGTCCGGCAATAGGCCTAGATGGTAGTTGACATGGGATGCCAAGGCTATACCCGCCCCAGAGCCCAGGATTTGGGCAGTGTCGCCACGTGAAGTGCTCCAGGTGTCCAAGGTGAAGGAAAAAAGACCCAATCCCACATGGAGAGAGATGATCATCAGGGGGGCGTAGGGATGTGTGCGGTTGAAAGTGTCGATGATGTCAAGAGCAGGACTGAAGACCACCAATATCAGCAAACTGTACAGGAAACCAGCAATGATGTCCTGAAAAAAAAAAAAAAAAAACAGAAAACAAAATGTGAATGTGAAACCACAAAACAGATTGAGAGATTCAAAGATGACATAAAAAAACGCATGAAAATAGGCTGACGGAGAGAATGCCTGAATCAGTTTTTACTTGTAAATCTTTAGAGGAAGTTTGACTTATTAATAAATAGCACAAATAATCAATGTTATTCTGAATATGAATATTAACCATATTAATAAATAGAGTTCATAAATCAACTTTTGTTAAAACAAAGCATAACTAAGACCCGTTTAAAAGGATTTAAGACCTACAATACAATATTTTAGTGAATTTAGACATTTTTAAGGCCTAAAGTTTTATTTTTGAAACAGAAGCCATTTTAAGACCCTGCAGATACCCTGCTTACAGTAGGTGTTCCTTAATTAAATAAATAAAAGTAACAGCAGCGGCTCTAGACATATGACCAAAAACACATATTTTATAAGTGGGCACATGCAAAGGAAAAGAGATTATGATCCATTAAACATTTAAAGAAAATGACGGAATTCATGAAAGTGTGGATGTTAGTCAAAACAGGCACATTACCAACAGTTTATTCAAAATAAAGTATTTATTGCATTGAATATATTCCCTGAGGTGAATTTCCCAAGCAACGTCGTAACTCGCAGCTGAGCTACCATATTACGATGCATCATTTGGAAAAAAAAACAAAACAAAACGATGTAGTGACAAGTGTTTCCCAAAACTATAGTTGCTTTGTTGCAGCATTTGTCAGAACATTTAAAAGGAATAGGCTATAGGGGGGATAACAGGGAATAGAACACAGCCAGGAACTATGCTTCTAACTACAGCTCTAAAGGTGTAGTTGCAAGTGAACAAGTTTGCGACGCAGTGTGCAAATGTTAGTCGCAACGATGGATTTGGGAAACTCCAAACTATGTTTGTAACAATGGAACTTATGACCTTAGCTGGCTAACAATGGTTTGTAGAAACGCACCCCAGGTTGACAATTCAATCATGGAAGGAAAGAAAAAAATGTGCATATTTAGCTGATTTTGGTGATTTTTAGTAACATGTGCTCATAGAGGGAAAGAAAAACAAAACAATGTAAACAATCTCCTCTGAAAAAGAAAACTGAGACAAAACAAGCAAAGGTGGTAGCAAAAGTATGATTTTTCAGCAATTCTTTAAAATAAGGATGCAGTTTTCAGTTTACTTAAGTGTCTTTTTAAATTTATTTGTATGCTCAACCAATAGCAAGATTTGTGGGAGATGTCCAATACTGGAATACTTTAGCACTGAGTGAGAGATTCCACAGAGACCACAACACACACACACACACACACACACACACACACACACACACACACACACACACACACACCTGCTAAACAGTAATAGGCAGCGCTTTCATGAACTGCTTGACTATGAGTGGGAGAGAAAATGAGCTGGTTAATTTAAAACCATTTTCACACTCAGCACTTTAAACATCATGGAAACTCTTCCTTGATTACAGACACAGATTAACAAGCAAATGTCCATTTACACACTTTGATAGTCGCCCTCACACACTTGACCCTAAAACTCGAACCCCATAATTGTCATTTCAGCAATTGTAGATGGCAAAACTGAAACTATTCAGTGCCCTTATTACATGGTTGTCCTCATGGAAATTATATACAGTGCTCAGCATACACCAGTACAAACCATTTTGAAAATGAATATTTTCATCCATTTCTCAGTGAATATGGGTAATATATATTGGTACATTTCAACAAAACAGATTAATTAAAAATATATATTTATTAAAATAACAATAAGATAATACAATCATGCAAAATATTGCAAAAAATTAATTACAAACTACAACATTTCAACAAAATTTGACATTTTTTGTTTCTCTTGAATTTCTTGCTAATTTTTAACATTAAATGTAATATTTTTCCCTAACATATCAATTCAGCCTACTGATTGTTGAACCATTATTTTAAGTTATTTTGTTAGATCAGCACTGACTAAACCAATGTATATGCACAAATATAATATTGTATAGCGTCCTATAGAAAATATCAACTTAAATGATAGATTTGTGGGGGGGTGTACTCATATATGCTGAGCACTTTATGTCTGGATGTTTGTAAATGTTTTGTAGATGTTTGTCAGAAGCACTTTCTTCAAACGAGACACTTCGCCTCTTTCACTTATCTGTCAGTCATTAACCATGATGGGCTCATTTTTCCACATTTGAGGTGGAACATTGGCTTGTTGTCTTTTCCATACACGTGTACTATATATTTTCACCCAGCTTTTTTAATAGTTAACAATACAGAACATCAAAACTAAGCAACAAACAAACTAAATTAAAATATACACACTGTTTATAAAATAAATAAATAATAAATAAATAAAAAGGGAGGAGATACAGTATAAACCAACATGGAAAAACTATTTTGTCAAATCAAATCATGCGGTTTTTATATAATTAAAAAATGGATCCAAAATATGTGCTCTTCTCTAAAGGTATACAGCTGGAAGCTTCTGACATCCATAGTCCAATTAGTACATCAATGTCTGTTATCCATTTCAAAGCAATAAATTTATCAGCTATTGTCAATAACATTTCAGTAAGCTTAATATTATGTTTAAGCTGGAGGTTTGAATTTGTAGAATTGCCCAATAAACATATCCCTAGATCCACCCTGGAAAATCAATTCCATGAACCTGTGATATGATATTGCATACTTGCACCCATTATACTTTCTCTTTAGCGCACAGCCATATAGAACGAGTCCTTATTTTGACAGGTGATTGTATTGTGTATAGTAGTTAGTCTGTACTAGTAGTCCTTCGGCAGTCAAAGAATGACAATCATATCAAACCATCTGTCTATCAGATATGCGGCTCAGGTTTCAGTGAACCACTTTGCACATACACACTATAAAACTAAAAAGGGCTTAAAATTGCATTTTAATGAAGAGAAGGGAATAAAGCAGCATCAGAATGTGTACTGAAATGAAAATTACAAGACATCCTGCAACTTCCTAAATTTTGAGGTTTCTTCTCCTCACGATCAGTATATTGCATGCATTCATGAAGACTGTGCACTGATGTATTCTACCCCACCCCAGATGCCCGCACATGATTTCTTTTGTCTAAAGCAAAGCACAGACGCATCTGAGGTAATGTGCCATTTAATTAATCTTTGTTAAAGCTACAAATGCTATTGTTTCTTGGGCCTAAATGGTTTAAACTCACTCAATATATTTAATTAGGAAAAAACAAATGCAATTAAGAAACTTTAAATCCACATTGATTAAACTTTCCCATTATACTACAAGCTCCTGGTAAACAATAATCCATACTTGGCAATGCAGATCTTGCGATATGTCTATTGCAGATGCACACTGCGATATTGATGCTAAAGCAATACATAGTGCAGCCCAAATATATGTATATGTATATATATATATATATATATATATATATATATATATATATATATATATATATATATATATATATATAAATTCCACAACTTGTGTTTAACGAAAATATGATTGTTTCAACACATTTCTAAACATAATAGTTTTAATAACTCTAATAACTTTATAGCTGAAATAAAACAAATAAGACTTTCTTCAAAGAAAAAATATTATCAGACATACTGTGAAAAATTCCTTTTTTGCTTTTTTAAACATAATTTTAAAAAAATTATAAATTCAAAGGCGGACCAATAATTCTGACTTCAACTGTATGGGGTCAATGATGTTGATCAGCAACTAAATGAATATAAAACATTTAACAGGATTTTTTTTTTGTGCCATTTCACAATGTATGCGTGTATGTGTGTGTCATCTGTCATCTTGTTACAAAATCCCTTCTAGTCTTGTGAGCATGAGAGTGTTAAAACAATCCCACAGTTGCCATAGGAACTATCTCTAGGGCTACGGCCACTCATCACCCCAACAGGGCGAGCAGACGTATGAGGTCATGGTAAGGGTGACATTACGGCTTAGAGCAGACATGCAGCGGAACACCCAGATGAAACGCCACATTTTCAGGACTGAGAAAAAAGCCGTCATGCAGACAGACAGACACTTCGCCAAGATTATATCATCCTGCTAAATTACACCGTTTATTACTTGATGATGACAGTTGGATTTACGGTGCTTGTGCACGTGCATAATACATGTTTATAACAGATCGGGATTTGGGGGAAGCAACAGGCAACGTTAGACTCAAACAGATGGATGTAGTTACACCAGGCCATTTACAGTCTATTTGAGTAGCCTTAGGTCATACAAACACACTCATTATTTATGCCATATGTGTGATCTTACTTCAAAATGGCAAAACATTCAGTAAACTGAGCTGTATCCACACAAAGGCAAAGTACTGCCGGTAATTATCCGGCCCAGTAAAGAAACACAGGGGAGTTTTTCCCAGGGTGACTCCCACATACAGATAACATCAACATACACACAAACACAGATAAAAAAAAGAATAACATACACAGATCCCCCATGAAGGAACATCATACGCTTGCCATTGTCTTGCCATTATGAAAGCAGCAGTCTTCTGAAATCTTATTTGTAGGATTAAGATGAGTCCTGTAGGTTGACATTTTCATGTTATGACTAGTATTGTCAGTTGATTAAATATAAAAACCTAATTATAGGATGATTTTGTTTGGTGTTTTTCCTCTTGATCTTTTCGTATATGAGCAGGTGAGCAGAACACAAAGGATGACAGGAAAATATTCAGAAAAATAAGAAGAAATTTTAAATGCTCAAAGTGAATTTAGGCATCATTATGAAACAAGTGCAACAAATTCATTTTGAGATTTGCTTTAGGATGACACTTAAACATGTACTTAAAGTATTAGTGCTGCATTCATTTTTTCAGTCGTAACAGCAAAGGGAAGCTAAATATAAAAATACAGGAAATATTTATCCATGATTACATACATACAGCGGGGAAAAAAGTATTGAACACATCACTATTTTTCTCAGTAAACATATTTCTAAAGGTGTTGTTGACTTGAAATTTTTCAGGTGTTGGTAACAACCAAAAAAAATTTATATATGAAAAGAAAACAAAATTCATTAGTTTACAAATTAAGTTTAGTGTAATAAAATGAAATGACGCAGGAAAAATAATTGAATACATGAGGAAAAGGTGGGGTAGAGGCAGTGAAAGCCCAGGCAGCAGCTGAAATTTCTCTAGTTATTTAGCAAACCTCTACCCTTCGTTATTGTAAATGAATATTAGCTGCTTCAGTCCAACATCTACATTAGGAGGAGGATGAAGATAAAACACAGCCAAGGAAACTCTCAAATGCTTGCAGAGAAAGAAAATCAAGCTGTAGAATGGCCCAGCCAATCACCTGACTTGAATCCAATAAAAATAAAAAAGAATTTGATAGATTTGATAGACAAGACCCACAGAACCATCAAGATTTTTACACTCTGTTGAAATCTGTGAAAATAAATAAATAAATAAATAAATAAAATCACACCCGAGCAATGCATGTGACTTTATTCTCCATATGAGAGGCGTCTTTAAGCTGCCATCACCAAGAAAGCCTTTTATATTATAAAGTATTAAATACGTTTCAGTAGTTCAGTATTTTCTCCGTGTGTCATTGCTTTGTTACTACCTAAAACTTATTTTTTTGTGTTTTTTTTTATATTGTTTTGGTTTTTACAAAAATCTGGTCAAATTCCATGTCAACAGCTCTAGAAATATTATTCCCAAGAAAAATCATGACGTGTTGAATACTTATTTTCCCACTGTATCATTATCTGATATTGTTAAAAACAGACCATCCTTTATTCCTGAAAGCAAGAAAAAAATACTGCACTTTTAAATCTTTGTTTATTAAAAAATAGTATTAATTTAAGTGAATAATTGCTCTTACCAGTATAGAGTGCATGCCCATGTAGATGCGGCTCAAACACACCAGGACACACCAGCTGATGGCCAGAGAGAGACCCAGCAACATGGGATACTGTGGGGAAAAATAAAAATAAAATGAACACACACATTTTGTTATATTATTCAAGTCATGTCAGACAACTGTTGCAACACTGCACAATAAATCAGTCAAGAAGTCAATATGAACTTTTTGGAGATCTGTTGAAGAATACAAGACGTTTCAGATTTTTAGCCATGACATTCACATTTGAACCCCAACATAACACACATTCATTCCCTAAAACGAATTTCAAAACTGTTTTAAAAGTGCAGGCGAATTCGAGAACATGCAAGTTAATCCATCAATGTATAGCAAAGGATTATAAAGGGCTGATTTCCTTTATCTCTTTGCACACACATGACTACAGCAGATGGCAGAGCAGGAACAGCCTATGTGAGAAAACTCATATACTATCATCTCTCATAAGAAGCTACAGGATACATTATCTGTCTCACGGTCTGTCATTTCCGTAAGCTGTACTATTATGCTGTATACCAGATGTGTAGAAAGCCCTCTGTAACACAATATAACAGTTTATGCACAGATGGCGTCCTAAAAAGCAAGCACACATGCAAGTAGACATGCACACGCACACCCTTTGTCCTCATGTTTGGCTGTGAGCCCAGTGTCATAGTAATAGCACAGCTAATGCTAACCTGCTTTCGGGGTATCTGTTCAGGGTGTGTGTCCATATGTCTCAAGTGTCTGTTGTAGTATCTGTAAGCAATATCACCCTCACCAAATCGCCAGTTCCTGCATAATATACCAACAATTGTCCACAGATGGACTCCTTCTGTGGTAAAATGGCCATTCAACCAACAAACACCGAAGTCAAACCCTCAGCACACTATAAAACAACCACTTACTACAATTACTGTCCCACAAAGCAAAAGATGGTCAGGAGGATAAAAAGAGAGGCATAGCCCAGAGGCAAACTTTAAAACGAGCTGCCGCACTCTCTTAACTGGCTGTTCTGGTTGACAAACACTTAAAAATAAGTGTACACTGATTACGAAATTTTTGTCCAAAAATGTTGCACATTAAAAAATGTATTCAACCTTATGTTGTGTCAATCAACGTGAGGTTTGTTCTGTTTTGAATAGGTTATGACATATGTTTTATTTGTCTAATAAAGAGTCTAATAAAGTTTGAATGAATGAATCACAATGACACACTGCCTCCAAAACTTTCATGAATAATAAAAAAATTAATTGGTTAAAAAAACATTTTTGAGAGGTGTTTTGACAGTTTAAAGCAGAGATGCCTAAACTAGGGCCCGTGGGCCAAAGTTAGCCCATGGTAACCTTTGATTTAGCCCACCATGGTTTACAGCAGTGGTTCCCAAAGAGGGGGTAGGGTCTCCTGCAAAGGTCGCGTGCAGAGATGTATAAAGTACTAGAGACCCAGACTTAAGTAAAAGTACAAGTGCTCTATTAAAAAAGTGACTTGAGTAGAAGTTGAAGTGCTCTACTTTAAGCACCATATTTAAGTGAAAGTACTAAAGTGTTCAGCATTTTTGTACTTGAGTATCGCAAGTAGTTTATATCAAAATTTACTACTCAAGCACTGAAAGTAAAAGTACAAGTATTGTGTATTGTAGTTATTAAAGAAAGCAGTCAAAAGACGTCATATTGTTTTGTTTATTTTAAATATCAATTCAGTCCAATTCGATATCTTGATAAATCTCGGTGCATTGACGATGTTTACCTTACATAATTAGATTTTTTTTCACAAACACAAGAATTGTTTTTATTAAAAATCTATAAATATATTTATATATTATTTGTAATCTTCCCAGTGATGGGTTGCAGCTGGGTAAAACATGTGCTGGATAAGTTGGCGGTTCATTCCGCTGTGGCGACCCCAGATTATTAAAGGGACTACTAAGCCAAAAAGAAAATGAATGAGTGAATGAATGAATTTTTTGTAATACAATTTTGTTCTTTAATACAGCAGTAAGATATAAGAACTGTACCCTTAATTTGACCTGCTCAAAGAAACCACTCTTTCTGAATGTATAAAACAAAACTCTATTACATGCACTGACAGGCACTGACAGGCGAGGTCTTACACCCCTATGATTGGTTATTGTCTTCACCTGCTCAACAGAAAGGTCTGCGATAGGCTTTAGAAATGAAAGCGATGTTCACCGATGGCGGGAAGAACAGCCACGATTACAGTCTGTATGCACATAATGCGTGGTTATCCATAATAGACACAGTGGAGAAAACTTGCACCTCAGGCACGCTCGTGTCTGGATCCACAGGTATCGCTTTAACAGCCAAGAGGAGAGGAAAAGTTACCTCACAAACAGGCCAGCGGGTCAAATGTCCAAAGTGTGAGAGAAAGAGGTAAAGAGAGTTTTACAGCATTTCTCCGTAGTAGTGAAATAGCGGCTCGTGTGCTGTGCCACCTTCATTGTAGTAAGAGCGTTATTTACTCGCCCTTGCCTCCTTCGCCAAAGTATTCTACTGCGACATCGTGCATAGGAGATAAATGACGTCAGTACGTAATAACCAGTTATGATCTATTACTGAACCGATAGCAATAATTTTGACACCCCTGTTAACGATGCAGCACATAAAAAAAATCCATCGGAGTAAAAGTATTAAACTAATCAAAAATATGTACTGAAGTAAAAGTTGAAGTAGGAGAAAAAAACAATACTCCAGAAAAGTACAGATACTGCCTTTTAGTACTTAAGTACAGTAGTGAAGTAGTTCTACTTCGTTTCTCTACATCTCTGGTCGCAACACAATAAGCCAGGGTCGCTTAGTGAGATCTAAAAGTCTCATATATATTATTAAACAATTAGAATTGCCATATTTTATCCATAACCTACAGAAGGTAAAATAGTATTTAATAGTTACATAAAAGACAACAACATGGAAATAATAGAAATAAAATTCCGCTGCACGAGTTTTGACACACACACTTCCTCACGCCACCATATCATCCCTGTACTTCAGCAACTTCACTGGCTACCTCTTAAGTCACGTATCGATTTTAAGACCTTGATTTTAACATATAAAGCAGTCTATGGGCTAGAACCTGACTACATTTGTGACCTGGTAACTCTCGCCACTCCCACCCGCAGTCTTCGTTCTTTATCTGGACTTACGCTGTACCAGCCAGATTGTAAACTAAAGGCCATGCGTGGTAAAGCTTTTCCGTACAGTGCGCCTAAGCTATGGAATGGTCTACCCATCAGCATCAGGAATGCCGCTTCTCTGGACTGTTTTATGAAACTTCTCAAGACTCACCTTTTTAATGTTGCTTTTAACTTAGATTGATTATTTTTGTCAATTTAATCATTCAATTGTATTGTTCATATTTTATTGTCTTATTGTTTTTATTGTTCTGCTTTGCTACTGTTTGCCTTGTACAGCTTTGGGTCTAAGAAAAGCATGCTATTAATAAAATGTTTTGTTATTTTGTTATTATTTGACAACATTATGCACTCACGTACAGTACATAAAAAAGACCACAGCTGAACATGGAGGATGATCTCCAAATCAAAATGTTCTAAACAAATGAATAATAACTATAAAAAATTATATGGTTGTAAGACTGCTGCACTTTTTGTGTTGTCAATATTCTCATGTTGATATAGTTCCTATTGGTGTGTGTGCATGTTGTGTGCAATGTTTGTATGTATATAACCACCTTGTTATTTTGGTGGACGCGGGCTAAAGAGTTTGGGAACCCCTGGATTGGAAACTGTCACTTCAAAGCTAATGTAACCTTTTGTTTGTTTGATTTGATTGTGTAAAACTAACTGAAATTAAATGTTTTAATCAAATATTGTAAATAAATCGGGTTTAGTTAAAAATGTGCACACAGTCACCTGATGGATAGAGGACAATGCAGAGACTTTGGTGAGCAAATCAAGGAAAAGGCATGGCGGGGACACGGTGGCTCAGTGGTTAGCACTGTCACCTCACAGCAAGAAGGTTGCTGGATTGAGTTCTGGCTGGGTCGTAGTGTATGTGAGTAAATGAGTGTGTATGGATGTTTCCCAGTACTGGGTTGCAGCTGGAAGGGCATCTGCCGTGTACAACATATGCTGGATAAGTTGGCGGTTCATTCCGCTGTGGTGACCTCTGTTGAATAATGGGACTAAGCCGAAGGAAAAATGAATGAATGAATTACCCAGGACAACTTTTTATCTTATTTTAAAGATTTTATTTTTGGCCTTTATTAAGTGGATAGGGGCGACACAGTGGCGCAGTAGGTAGTGCTGTCGCCTCACAGCAAGATGGTCGCTGGGTCGATCCTCGGCTCAGTTGACGTTTCTGTGTGGAGTTTGCATGTTCTCCCTGCGTTCGCGTGGGTTTCCTCCGGATGCTTCGGTTTCCCCCACAGTCCAAAGACATGCTGCAGGTGAATTGGGTAGGCTAAATTGTCTGTAGTGTATGAGAGTGTGTGTGTGAATGTGTGTGTGGATGTTTCCCAGAGATGGGTTGCGGCTGGAAGGGCATCCGCTGCGTAAAAATGTGCTGGATAAGTTGGCGGTTCATTCTGCTGTGGCGACCCCAGATTAATAAATGAATAGGACAGTATTATAGACAGAAAGTGAAGTTGGGAGAGAGAGAGATAGTAGGGACAGGAAATGTCCTCAAGCCAGGATTCGAACTCAGGATGCCCTGACGTGCTACTGCACCATATGTCAGCGTGCTTACCACTAGGCTATTGCACCAACCCATGTCAACTTCAATGTAATATAGTTTCTTATATGTACCTACGGCCCACTGCTGGTTGGTTTTTGGCCCTTTATACGAAAAAGTTTGGGCACCCCTGGTTAAGAGCCACTGTGCAAGTAAAAGTCAAAATCCAGTATGGCATCACTTTAGCAGAGAACACTTTATGACAAACAAAGTGTGGAATAAGATGACAGAATGTGGCATTGTTGATAATCACTGTTATAAACTAGTGAATGCGGGAGTCGCATACAAAACCTTTCCCATAGCCAGTGTGTGTGTGTGTGTGTGTTTGTCTCCATACCTTTGACACACTGCCAGTCTCTGTTCAGG